GCCAGTAAAGTGAATTATTCATAAAAAAATTATGCATATCCATCCCAAAAAAAAACATGTATGTGTGTACTAACATACCCACGATTTAAGTACATAATTGCGGAGGCCGATGCATATGTGAAAAAAGATTTAATTTCCTACTTTGTCGAATCGAATTTTTTCATTTTCCGTCTGCTGGCTTTATTGAGGCAGTATAATACTAAGTAAATATGTACATGCATATGTATATATGTATGTGTGTAGGGGTATATACAAAAACGGGTACCTAGCCCAGAATGCTGGAGTGCATTAAAGTTTGTGTATTTAGTTAATTAAAAATGTACATAGGACATACATATGTACATATGTACACTAGGGTGGTCCTCAAAAATTCAAATGAATGACTTTTTTCATTCTCACCCCTTCAATCGGTAACAACCTATGCTGTAAGGACCCTAAAAAATAAAAATATATTTTTTCATTTAATTCCCAAAACCGGTACTACTAAAGCCGAGGATATCACATATAAATTTTAGTCCCAATTGAAGTCGGTTAAGACGTCGTCATAGCGTAATCTAAACTTTGACCCCTTTGCGACACGCCTTAACCGACTTCAATCGGGACCAAAATGTATAAGTTATATCTTCGACAATGATAGCATCGATTTTGGGTATTAGACGAAGAAAATTAATTTATACTTTTTGAGTCTCCATAGAGGAATCTGAACTTTGCCCTCTGTGCGACACGTTTTAACCGTCTTTAATCGGGACCAAAATTTATATGTGATTTCTTTGACTATAGTAGCGTCGACATAGGGGTTGAAGCTAAGGAAATCTGATGTAAAAATTTGTCCCCTACATATAAGGACCGCCCTAACGTACACACATATGTATGTGTATCCTTGTCAAGAGTCTTCCAACCAAAAACACATTTATGAAAAAGTTTTAACATTTATAGAAAAATTATCATGCAATGGTGCGCTAGTAACCACGACCAGTCCTCACTGTAACTATGATACATATCGTCGTTTAAAGTACGAAACCGCGTATCAACAAAATGCAAAACCGCGTATGTGAGGTTGCATTAATTATTTTCTAGAGAGTAAAAACACTCATATTTCAAAATGGTTCTCTTTTTTTTTATAAAGCAATCGCATTTCTGGCTAGTATATTTCAGGACGAAACGATAAGGATTGAGCCAAGAGCTTGTGTGAGCAAATCCAATTTTTGGCAGCAAATGTCAGTTACGCAGTTTTCCAGAACGACGATACGCGGTTTGGTACTTTAAACGACGATATGTATGTATGTACATTTTACTGTAAAGCAGGGGACACACGAGAGAGGTGCTGTCTAGAAATAATAGGTGTCTTCCCTTAAACTCGTAAAAGCCTCGTAAACCTCATGAAACTTGTTTTAATGAGATTTGGTGTAATTCTAGTTGATTTTAGAGTGTGCCCAAATAATACAACTTGTTTCAATTACAACCCAAAGTGTGAAACGTTACGTGACATGGTATGATGGGACATACATTTCCTATTAGATTCATTTTAGCAATTATTTTCAAAATTTCTGTTTTTTTTTAATTTAACATGTATGTATATTTTCACTTATAATGTTTCAACTACATACGCGAAATATGCCAAATTGGCGCCATCTAGCGAGATCATTTTCCGAAAAAATATTTCTGCCTACATAAGCAGTATATATTGTAAAAAGCATACAAATTTGAACATAAATACGTTAGATATATGACTTTAATTTCTTTTTTTTTCGCGGTAGACCTTCGAATGGAAACGCTCATATGCAGATAAAAATGGCCGTATGTAGTATGTTCTGGACTTCTAGACCGTTCGTTCGGTTATATATACATAATTATACGAAAACCTTACTGCCTAGGTGGCGCCGGAGTCGAGAAATGACTCGATTTGGTTAAAATTTAGCAGATACATACATTAACACTGCATAAATCAATGTTTTGAATTTTGTGCAATATTAAAAAAAAATCAACAAACTTTCGTAAAGATTTCGAGCTTTTAAATTAGAATTCTTATAAAGATTTTGAATACGTGTGTTAGGTCTATTTAATTTTGATATAAGTAATAAAGTGAAAGTTGTCGAGAAGACGAACCGGAGGTCAATGATGGCGGAGTCGATGTTCCACCGCCTGACTATACGAGGTACGAATAGCATGCATCAACTCTTATGCAGAATATGGTCAGATGAACGCATGTCGGACGACTGGAATATAAGTGTGCTCTGCCCAATCCACAAGAAAGGCGAACCGGCCATTCGAGCCAACTACCTCTCAGCATATGTTACAAGGTCTTATCGAGCGTGTTATGTGAAAGTCTGAAGACCTAGAAATCCACAGTAGACCCGGTATTTAAAATACGCGAAATCTTGGAAAAGACCCGCGACAAAACGATCGATACTCACTAGGGTGATTGACCCGGCTTTTCTAAACCGGCTTGAACCGTTTTTTTTCGGAAATCTATAGGCGTTTTTTTTTTTGAAATCTTGATTTTTCGATATCGAATAAACCGGATTTTTTGATAATTTTTTTCTTAATTTCTTCCAAATCTTGACCTCTAAATAAAACTTTAGGTTTTTCGAAGTTTTGCAGTTCGAGGGAAGCCCCTAAATAGTTTCAAAATGATATCCTAGGTTATTTGAGGATGAACATTATATATCGTATTTGATTCCAATAAACGAATGTTTGGCGCTTTCTACGCGTTTGGCCGAGCTTCTCTTCGCATTCGTGTTCTGCTTTTTTATGGCAGACGTACACTCGGAGGGTTGCCATTGTCTGCCGAGGGGCGACAGCTGCTTGAAAAAACTTCTATTGATGTTGCTGGATCTAGAAATTGAACCAAGAATATCCCAAGAGGCAATACGCGCGAAATTTATACGACATATGTAAAATGACGGAAAGCAATACCACCAGCTCCGTCATAATTTGGAAAGACCTCTCTGAGCCGTTTGCTACCAAACGGGGTGTCATACAGAGCAAGGCGACTCACTTTCGTGTGATTTCTTTAATCTGATGTTGGAGAAGATAATAAGTGAAATTGCTGGCGTATGTCGATGACATCGACATCATCGATAATAAGAACCGGGAAGTCTTTTGTGCCTTTTACAAGTTGGATAAGCAAGCAAAGCGATTGGGTCTGGTGGTCAACGAGGACAAGACGAAGGATCATCAAAAACAAACGGTCAGCGCATTTGCGCCTTGGCACTCACGTCACTGTTGGCAGTTATAATTTCGAAAAATTAGAGAAGTTCGTTAACTTGGGAACCAGCAAGGGCTACTTTGGACTGAGTAGACAATTCGGAAGTAAAGTCCTCTCAGAAGCATGGACAATGACAATATCCGATAAGGCGGGTCTTGAAGAGAAACGACTGGCGTGCTTTGTTGAACACGGCTAAAATCGCATAGAATAATAAAGGGCAAGTTCAAAGTAGCTACATAAGACTTACCGTTGATTTAAATTTTTTTTCTTAATAAACCAAAAAAATTTTGAAAGCATGTCAACGCTCATAATTATGACACGCGGGTGTTTTTCTTCCGCCATAAAGTGTGACAAATCATAATTTACGAGGGCAAATACGACCAATTGTGTACGAGCTAATGAACTTAATAAAGTTAGACAAGCTGTCTACACGAAACTGCCTTTTTAAGTACCTTTAACTTATTAGGTTACTAAAACACAAATATTGTAATCCTTCTAATAACAAAATGAAATTAACTCTTCTTTATCTCACCCATTCTGTAGACATACTTGGTACAGCAGTTCCACTGGGTGTTTGGCTTGTATTTTAATGGGCTTATTCATAAAAAATAAGGTAGTTTCACAAAAGGTTTATAAATTGAAAAATAAATGAAAACGTCAATTTATAAAGTTTAAAACCTTATTTATTTTTTATCCATAAGGCCATAAATGTTTAACATAACTAGTTTTTGATGCTACAGAAGTATTTAAAAAAATAATAATAAATTTTCCTAGAAAATATGATTGCCGTTCAATTGGATCAAGGTTCACAATGAAGGTATAGATGTACACTAGTCACTGCCATCGACATTTGAGTTATGCAAATACATAAAAAATTCCATTAAGTCATTCTTAAATGTGCACATGAGCAATTCATAAAGTTTCAGCTAGGTAGAATTCGAATTGGTGCAGCTGTATCAAGGATGTCCCAGAAGGGTTAATACTATACAGCCCTTAAATACGTTTTTTATTAGATATAAGTACCAGCTTTCAATCATAAAATCTTCTTGGTAGAATCCAAACTCAATTCTGTTAAATATGTTTTTTTAATTAAATATCTATAAAATATCAAACTTTTTTCGTTTTAGTCTCTAACTCAACTTGTAAGCTTCAAATGGAGAATGTTATTTAAAAAATAGTGAAAAAAAAGATCTAACTAAACACAACCTTTGTAGCTATCAAATAAAAAGAAGACCCAACCACTTACATCATGCACGAAAGACGAGTTGAAAAGTAAGTAGTTTTAAACCAGCCTATTACTAATTAGCAGCGAACGGATTTTTAGGACCTAAAAACCTATAAAAAAAGGCAAACCAAATAGCGAAATGGCACTAAAAAGGACAAAAACTGAAAAATAATCAAAGAATACCTTTATTTTAGAAATGTTTATTTTACAAGTAAAAGGAGAAAACCTATGAACTAGTTTCATTATATGAACAATTTGGACTTCGAATTGTTTACTATTTGCTCCTTTCGAGTTTTTAACTCACAAAACTTTAATCACTGTAGTTGTAGTAACATTGAACCACAAGATGCCTTTTGAAGTTTTCTGGCAGCATTTTCATTAGATTTTCGCGAACAAAACCCTTGAATGTACTAAACGTGCGCTTAATGTGAGTTGATACAAGTGGCGCCCATTTTAAATATGGAATGTTTAAAACTTTCATATTATCATAAGGGCCTTTTCCTTGCCCTTTACAATTAAAGGTAGAAAAGGCAAATATCTCAAAAAAAGGCAAAATCAAATATGTACATATATATGGAATCAGGGAAAACTAAATCGCGGACATTCTTATTCGGATATACTCTATCTTTTTAGCACAAAAAACGCATAATCCATAAAATCCGTTCCCTGCTTATTATTAATAACAATGAATAATATTAATTTTGTATGTATTTAACAACTCCTAAGGCGGATTCATCGTGTTAGTTCAGAACTTCCTTTCCTCACAGAAAGAGAAACACAACAACAACCACATGGAAGAAAAAGTTAAAAGCTAAAACGATGAATCCGCCTTTATTAATAAAGGCTACCTTTTTTTTTTGTATTTCTTTTAGAGTCAAAGGTGGACATTATGTTGCTACACATAGTCAACCTGTTGGATATCCTCCATATTCGCATTCCAATCGTGCTTATTCTACAGATGGTGAAGAATCACACAATGCAGCGTCCGGGCCCGCAATCGGCGGATATACAGTTGCACAAGAGTATCCATATACATCTGCCCGCAAAATGAATTTATATCAAAATCATCAAAGTCCAGCAGACGAGACTAGTGTAATATATAATCAAAAATGGTCTAATGGGTCACCACAAACACGCACCCTATCTGCTCTAAGCTATGATCAAGGTGGAGATGTGAGTAGTGAAATCTATGTGACCAGTGCTGCTTACAAGGAGCCCTCGGAAATAAGGTAAAATTTGATGAGATTTTAGAGAAGTTTTTTTTTGGATGTCCTTGGGTTGGGATTTTTACTTTTTTGTATTAAGCACTAGACAGACTGAAAAATCAACATAACTTGAAAGACGGATAGGGCTCATTTGAGCCCAATTTTTTCAAATTAATTTTAGTAGGAAAATACTTATAGTTTTAAATTAAAAACTGTTAATTAATTTTAAAAATAACAATAAAAATATTTAATTCTCATTTTTATTTTCTTATTTTAGTAACAAAAAATACTTAATACATCGCACGCCGTCTTCAAAAGAGTCACAACTCAAAATTTGGCATTTTTGAGACTTTTCGCTAAAAATGTATACAGAGAATTTATTTACCTTTCAGCAAAAGCTGGGCAAGTTTTTGTTATAATTAGTTAAAAACAAAAACATAAGGTAAAGTCGCCCTTGTCCATATGATTATCATGTGCTAAGAAATAGTTTTTTCGCATTTTCATTATTTTGAGTTGTCACTCTTTTGAAGACGGTGTGCGATATGTACATGTTTGCCAATGAGATCAAATGACCGCTATCCGTGTTTTTGGCAGCAATACTATTTATTTCAGTTTGAAACACCTCAATGAAATAGGAATGCTTTTAAATTAATTTTTATGCATTTTTAATAAAAGACACGAAAAGTGAATTTTGAAAACCAGCTTGCAAAAGAAATATTGGCAGTCAAATATGAAAATACTTCAATTGACTCCTGTCCGTCTTTCTAGTGTTAAACACCTGTAATAGCATAAGATAGGCCTTGATCTAAAATACCGGAAAATTTACATTATTTGTTTAAAGTACACCCACAAAAATTAACAATAAGTTTTTCGTTTTTTACGTTCATTGCCTCCATAGTCGCTACAGCCATCGGCCACAGTCCCGCGGAGCGTCACATAGCGTTTATTCGGTTGCAAGTACCGCGAAGACTGGTCAGAGTGCTCATTCAACAACGAAACGTGGAGTAAAAATCGATGCAATGTCGGCTCCAAATCCATTTTGCCCTAACATAAAAGGCGTTTGCTGCCTTATGCTGCTCCTCAATTTAGGTCTAATTCTTGTAACATTAGGCTTTGTAATTGTGGTTCAATTCTATGAACCTCTTTACGTGTGGTATGTTTTGTTTTATAGTCATTTGACATTGCTATTGATATTAATCGCTCAATTTCTCGCAATCTGATTAAGGATACTTGGGATTATATTTTTGATATTTGGATTCCTTACTCTCATTGGGTGCATGATATACTGCGTACATGTTTGCAGAGATGCCAAAACTCCTTCTCAAGTGCGCAACGAAAATCTTTATTGGACACGACATTGGCAAAATAACATCGGCTACGTACCTACCAAAGAAATTTCGTATAAAGGAAATAATAAATATGATGGGTACTCGGACCATTATTCAATAAGCAAAGTGAGCGGAAAATACTCGGACCGTGGCAGCAATCATTATTAGAAAAACGTCTACTTTTACCAATTAACGAATTCGCGCGCTAAAAATTTAAATCGATTGTGAATGCCTAAAACGTATACTATAATAATCTAAATTATACTCATATATATGTGTTATACCTGGGCCGACTTGAGTCATTAGTTGGACTTTATCTTTGTTGTACTTACAAGTTAATAAGTTTTCACACATAAAAATATATACATAAATACATACATACATGTATACTGTACCAATAACATTTACAAATATAAAACACTTATTAACACAGCACAATAAATATGTCGCTATTGTAAATACGGTAAGAAAAATTGCTGATGCGAGCATTAAATTTCTTTTTAATTTAGAGATAAACTAAAAATGCAAGTGCAACTCTTATTACATAATTCTTTCAAGACAATGAAAATTTGGTATGATTCGAAAGTCTTTTTTTTTTTGGTAGAATTTTCCGTTTGCCTTGAATCTTTGGATGTATTGGAGTAAATTATTGCTTTAGCTAAATAACTCTGCATTGGAGTAAATTGTTGAGCAATATTTTGTTTACACTAGTTTTATTTTGCGTAAGTATTCATCGAAATTTTTTTAAAGGTTTGGTTACTTCTTAATTAAAGATGGCTTTGAGCAAGCTATGAAAAGCACCTTCGCCACCAATTCGCAAGGCGGTCACTGCTACAGCAGCTCGCTTCATTTCGTTCGGAAGCTCTCTAGTGAAGTGGCTGTACCGGCGAATGAGCGTGAGCATCTGCAGGAGATTGATCCCTGAATCTGCGCATTCGAAATCGCAATTTGAATATCCGATACTTTGTTAATCAACACAAGCGGAAAAATGGGAAAAGAATTTGAAAACATTCAACTTCACATAAGGCTTTGGCTAACCGCAAAGTCCCACCCGACAAAGCGCGCTGCAAGTATGGAAATTTTATTTGTGATTTGTAGTAATCGGACAGTGGTCGCACTACTGAAGCCGCAGAAAAGAATCAACAAAGAGAAGTTTTATCCGCGAACGTCATTCCACTGCAGAAAAATAAAACATAAATTCCAATTAAGGTGGTCAAAAGTAAACGGATATCTCTCCGACCTAGGGTTGCCATACGTACCCCATTGGGGGAATATACCCCATTTTGACTTTTTGTCCCCGATGCTACGGAAGTTGCGCAGGTCCCCCATTTTCGCCCGAAATCGTTCACTTTTCGCTTAAAGCGTGCTTCTATCGTTCGCGATTAGTTGAATCCAAGGTTCATAGAATACAAGGTTACGATCAGCCATGCCCGCCATCTTGATGTCGTAGATGGCCCAATTCTTGGAGTTGCCAAATTCCTAAAAAATTATCGTATGGGAACGCAAAAAAGAATTTGAGAAACAGCTGATTCACGTTGTTTTTGTTTTTGTAACACATGCAAATACTTGGAAATTGAATTTCGGTTTCACAAATTTGATTTTAAGTATATAAAGATTTAAAATATATCAACCGGACGTTCACTATTCCTTAAAAGCTCTAAGTAAATGCAGGCAAAAAGTAAACGGCTGATATGCACTTTGACACTTTGGGCCTGTGCCAATCAGTAGAAAAGTTCTATGGTGGAAAACTTTTTACTATGGTGAGAAAATTTTACATTTCTGCTGTGCCAATTCGTAACTTTTTACTGCTGGAAATTTTTGACAGTTGCATTCATGCAGAAGAATGCGATCGGGTTAGCAAGTAATAGAATGCAGCAATTATAGAGAAAATATTTGCCTTTGCTGATTTCAGTTCTTCTGGTACTGAAATCCATGTACTTATTATACCTTTCAGCAATAACCACTAATTTTTCCCTAATATCCACTCGCTTTGGTTTTCTTTAATTTATGTGTATACATGCGTTGTTCTGTATTCTTCATGATATAAGATTTGTTTCTTTACAGATAATTATCACTAGTTTTTGCTGGAAACAGTTTCTCAATCCAAAAAACTAGCGGCTTTCGTTCTTACACTCTTCTTTTTTTGCCTCTCCTGCTAATTTCTGCATGTAAAATTTTTACTGGCTGAATATAACAGCTGTCAAAATGAATAAATAGCCGTTGAAGCGTAAACAAGCGAGGTTAGGTTGCTTTATTTGTTTGTTTCTTCAAATTTTTGGTATTTCTTAAATTAAAATTGGCGAATCATTAAATATTGATGAAATTGTAAAATGTATTTGTGAATAGTTTTTATATATAAAACGCGATTGAAAAATTACGTCAAATATTTTCAAATGTCAAATACACCGATCAGGTAGTTACTTGCTATTTTCTGTTAGTTTCGTTTCTTAACTATTTCTTTATATCGCCCGTAATTCTATCAATGATCCCATTCCTCTTTTTCCTGATAATTATCGGCTAGAAAACTAAAGAAACAAAGCTAATGCTTGCTGCCAAATTTTTCACTAGCCCTGCCGGATAAACAATTTTTGTTCACCTCATAGCTGTCAAAAATTTACTATCCAGAGTACTTTTCTATTAATTGGCACAGGCCCTTTATCCATTTTTCCCCGGAGAAAAAGTCCGGGCTGTTTCGGGCAGGAAGAAGAAGACACTTACGATCCAATACGTTTCAACTCTCGCCCTCCATTACCCATATTGTTGAGTACGGGAATGATTTCTGGACTGTTTTGCGTTGCGTACGGGAAGAACCTTATATACCGTGAGGTACGCTTTCTGGGCTTTTTGGGTTTGTGTGGGACAAACTTGATATGTGCCATTCATTGAAACAAATGTATTGCTATTGCTCGCTCAGTACAAAGAAAATAATCGATTACTGGTGAAATCGATAAGGAGCTTTCACCTTTGGACACGCATTGGCGAAATTATTTTGTTTTGGTGCTGAAAAATTTGTGTTTATTGTTCATCATGGCAGCGCCAATAGAAATTCCATTGCGGGATACCGACGAGGTAAGGAGCCAAACGCTTTATTTGTATTTAAATATATGTATATGTCTTCTCTACCTATTGAATATTCCAGGTTATTGAGGTGCATCCGGATCAGTTGCCAGAATGCCAAGAAGTACTAGCGATTTTACGCCAAGAAAGATCCCAGTTGAGCACCTGGGTCAACGTCGCCGTAAGTTGGAAGATTTTGATTCTAATAATATGAGTTAGATCGTAGATATATGTGAAATAATTCAGGTTTATGCAACATGATATCGCTGCTTATATCATATATGTACTAATATCATATAACTTGCACATAAATACCTGTTTATATGTATGCATGTATATTTGGTGCACCTGATATTTAGACTTAAATTTAAATAGATCAACCACTATTTGTATGAAATATCTTTAAACTGTAAATTTTATTTTAGTTGGCATACTACAAAGAAAGGAGAACGGCTGACTTCATCAGACTATTGGAAACTGCGAGGGCGGAGGGCAATACTGACTATCGTGACATGGAGAAAGATCAGATGCGCGCTTACGATATGTTGGCTGCACATTATGTACAGGAAGCAAACCGGGAGAAATCAAAAGAGAAAAAGCGAGAGTTATTTATGAAAGCCACAAACTTATACACTACTGCAGACAAGATTATAATGTACGATCAAAATCATTTATTGGGCAGAGCATATTTTTGCTTATTGGAAGGCGATAAAATGGAGCAAGCCGACGCTCAGTTTAATTTCGTCCTTAATCAGTCACCAGCGAATATTCCTTCGCTTTTAGGAAAGGCATGTATCGCATTCAATAAAAAGGATTATCGAGGCGCTTTAGCTTTTTACAAAAAGGCCTTACGTACAAATCCTAACTGCCCAGCAAACGTACGTATGGGCATGGGACATTGCTTCCTCAAAATGAATAACCAAGAAAAAGCAAAGCAAGCATTTGAAAGAGCACTAGAACTCGATAACAATTGCGTTGGTGCACTTATTGGGTTAGCAATTTTGAAATTGAATTTACACGAACCCGACTCAAACAAATTGGGCGTTCAAATGCTGTCGCGAGCCTACACTATTGATTCTACAAGCCCAATGGTTCTTAATCACCTGGCAAACCATTTCTTCTTCAAGAAGGATTACCAAAAAGTACAACATTTAGCCTTGCATGCTTTCCATAACACTGAAAACGAAGCCATGAGGGCAGAGAGCTGCTATCAGCTGGCGCGCAGCTTTCATGCTCAATGTGATTACGACCAAGCATTTCAATACTATTATCAATCGACTCAAATTGCACCAGCAAATTTTGTACTGCCACATTACGGTCTTGGTCAAATGTACATATATAGGGGTGACACAGAAAATGTGGGTTATGGTAAAATATTGTTAGAAGGTTGATATCTATATTGTTTTTAATTTTTCCAGGCTGCTCAATGTTTTGAAAAGGTTTTAAAAATACAGCCAGGAAATTATGAAACAATGAAAATCTTGGGATCGCTCTATGCTAATTCTAATTCACAAGCGAAGCGTGATATGGCAAAGTCACATTTAAAAAAGGTTACTGAACAATTTCCGGACGACGTAGAAGCATGGATTGAATTAGCTCAAATACTGGAACAAAATGATTTGCAAGCCTCACTAAACGCCTACGCTACGGCATCTAATATTTTACTTGAGAAAGTTAAAGTAGAAATACCGGCGGAAATTTTAAATAATGTTGCCGCTTTGCATTATCGAGTTGGGAATCTAACTTTAGCTAAACAAAAGTTGAACGAAGCCATACAACGCGCTAAAATTGAAGCACAAAATTCGAATGCTGATAAGCAATATTATGATTCCATATCGGTTACAATGACCTATAATTTAGCGCGTCTTAATGAAGCAATGTGCAGTTTTGACGTGGCCGACAAACTATTTAAAGATATATTAAAGGAGCACCCTAATTATATTGACTGCTACTTACGTTTAGGATGCATGGCACGTGACAAGGGTCTCATCTTTGTGGCATCTGACTTTTTCAAGGACGCATTAAATATCAATAATGACAATCCAGACGCTAGGTATGGGCTTTTGTATAAACGACTTCGTCCTTTTTATTATTAATGTTTTTGTACTAGATCTTTATTAGGAAATTTACATTTGGCAAAAATGCAGTTCGCTTTGGGTCAGAAAAATTTTGAAACTATTTTAAAAAACCCGACGACTGCCACAGATGCATATTCGTTAATTGCGCTTGGAAATTTCTCATTACAAACCCTCCATCAGCCCATTAGGGATAAGGAAAAGGAACGGAAGCATCAAGAGAAGGCATTATCGATATATAAGCAGGTATTTATTCAGAGTGATATTATTTAGTTATTCATATGTATGTATTTATATGCATATTAAAATTATTTTGTGCTATCTTCCCAAGGTGTTGCGCAATGATCCTCGAAATATTTGGGCTTCGAATGGAATCGGTGCAGTACTCGCACATAAAGGATGTGTTATTGAAGCACGCGACATATTTGCACAAGTCCGAGAAGCAACGGCAGATTTTTCCGATGTCTGGTTAAACATTGCTCATATATATGTGGAGCAAAAACAATATATCAGTGCAATACAAATGTACGAGAATTGCATGAAAAAATTTTATAAGCACCATAATGTCGAAGTGATGCAGTATTTGGCGCGTGCATACCTGCGTGCTGGTAAACTCAAAGAAGCAAAAACGGTTTTGTTGAAAGCCAGAAGGGTCGCGCCACAGGATACGGTATGACATATTTTAAAATTGTTAAAAATTAAGATCCCATTAAAGTTAAAAGTAATATTTTAACAGCAATTAATTTGCAGCCCTATTAAATTCCGTTTTAAATTTTATGCAATAAACTACTAATTGTCTTTGATTTTTCAGGTATTACTTTTCAATATTGCGGTGGTACTGCAACGGTTAGCTATGGCGATCCTTAAAGATGAGAAGTCAACACTTGATGTAGTACTGCAAGCCGTACATGAATTGGAGTTAGCGCAAAGGTAATACTAATTCATGTACTTCCTCTTTGCAAATAAATATAATTACAAATTTATTTGCAGATACTTTCAGTATCTCTCTATTTGTGGCGATAAGACTCGCTTTAACGTAGACATAGCTGGTATGGAGGCTAATCAATGCCAAGATCTTCTCTCACAAGCCCAGTATCATGTTTCACGTGCTCGTCGTATAGATGAAGAAGAAAAGGCATTGCGCCGTAAACAGGAAGAAGAACGCTTGGCTTTCAAGACGAAACAAGAGGAAGAACGTAAACGTCGCGAGGAGGAACAAAAGACGTCTCGTGAACAGATGCTTGTGAAGCGTCAAGAATATGTGGAGAAAACCAAGGGCATATTGATTATTTCAGAAAATCCTCAGTCCAAAGAGCGTAAGAAAGGTGCGTTTAAAAAAGTTTTGAAGTTCATGTATCTTGGTTATATTTATTATTTAAATAACATTTTCTAGGAGGTCGCCCACGTAAAGATGGATATGTTTCTGATTCCGGTAGCGATGTTGGTGAAATAGATGGTGCTGAACGATCTAAAAGGAAACCGAAGGAACGTAAGAAGGGTGTTGGAAGAAAACGAAAATCCGCAGCAGACAAATATGATAGTGACAGTGATGGTGAGATTCAGCAGAAAGGAAAGAAACAGAAAAAACGAAAGGGCAAGGAATCAAAAGAAGAGAAATTATCAGCCAAGCAGCGTCTTAAAATCGTTTCCAAAGCTACAATATCAACAAGTGAATCAGATAGTGATGCTGGTGCACGAAAGCGAAAACTTAGTGGCACGGGTGATAGTGACAGCGATGGTAGTGTGGCATCAAAGCGAGCACGTCGTATATCATCAAGGTCGGCATCTGAGCAACGTTCACGTAGTGGAAGTCGTTCACGTTCACGTTCACGTTCACGTTCTCGATCTAGATCCGGATCCAGATCTCGTTCACCATCGAAAGATAGATCACGCTCACCATCGAAAAATAGATCGCGTTCGGGTAGTCGGGCATCAAGGCGATCACGTTCAAAATCAAGTTCAAGATCTAAATCACATTCGCGTTCGAGATCTGTTACACGTTCTCGTTCACCATCTTCTTCACCGTCACCTTCAAAAGCCAAGTCTTCAAAGAGATCTCCCTCACACAGTCCTTCAGGTTCGGAATCAGAATAAAACTAAAAAATATTTTTCATTTTATTATGTATATGTATGTATGTACACCAACAATATAAAATAAATAAAATACATCAATCATTAAAAGTGTGGATATTGTTTATAATCGACATTCGATAGCTTTTGATCCTATATTGCACATTCAAGTCCAAATCTCAATGAAACAGCATTCTGGGCGAATACGCTAATACATTTGCTTCATACATACATTAGCAAATATTTAACTAGTGGTTTAATAAATCTGAAGGTTAATAATTATTTTACATTTGGGAACATTTGGGAGCTGCACTGTTTCGGGAAAAAGTATACACCTGCGTTCAACTAATTGGCACCGAAATTCAAAATGATATTGTTTACAACTTATGTTTATTTTGAATATTTTTCATTTAAAATATAATTCAATCTATAACAGAAACCACATAAATAAAGGTTTCAAAGCTTGCATAAATTGAAAAAAAAAGTTGATCAAACGTAAAAAAATTTCATCATAATTTTCAAACCCCTCCACAAAAAAATCAGCGGTAATTTTTAGCGACTTGAAACTTGCACTATTGACTACAAAACTGCATACCCGAAAATCTTCAAGATATTGTGATAAAAAATTGGAAATTTTGACGAAAATTTTTTAAAGTTTGATTATTATTATTTTGATTTTAATTTCCTCAAGCTTTGAAACTTTTATTTATGTGGTTTCTGTTATAGATTGGTATTATATTTTAATTGAAAATTATTAAAGATAAATAACATAAGTTGCAAACAATATCATTTTGAATTGCGGTGTTTAGTTGAACGTAGGTGCATACATAGGTATTAAAAAAAAAGTTGTAAAACAATCATGCAAATAACACCATTTTTGATTAAATTAACGGCAATAAAAAATTGGCTAATGCTTTTACGTACAATTAACTTAATTTAGTAAATCGGAATGATTTTCAATCATTTTGCTTACAATGTGGGACATACTACCAGAATATCTCAAAACAAATGCATGGTCTATACATTGTTTATCTAATTCAGCATCAATCTCAGGGAATCGGCTACATAATTGATTATAATATTTAACTGGCACCCAACCATCCGTTGTGCCATAATATAGCTTTAATAAAGGCATATGCTTTTCAATAAGTTTACTATCTAAATTACAAACACGAGCCATCTCATCCTTAGCTAAAAATATAACTTTCTCCATAACCGGAGCTTTGGAATACTCTAAAGCGGTATTAAGAACAGTTTTTGGAATGTTCAAAAGCCAGAAATACAATTGTATACCAAAAATTTGTAAAGCCTTCGGCAAGCGATTAAATAATGGAATCAGGAATCCAACTGTGGTGTAGAGTGGAACTCCAATTTTGGTAAAATTCCAACCATTCGGTGAATCAAGCATTCGCTCCAACGTTGGAAATAGAAGATAACATTTTTTAACTCGATCTCGAATAGTTTGTTCCTCTAGTAACTGTATAACCATCCACGCACCAATTGAGTGACCAATAAGATGAATTTTTGTATTAGCTGGCACAAAACGCTGAATAAACTCTTTTTTATGTTGCAATTGCCCATCTAGGTCAAATAGTTTTTCGTTTCCCCTGAGGCAGGGAACTTGTATTTTACTATTTTCTACTACCTCTTCATGTCCAGAATGACCTTGGGTAAAAGAATAATATACAAAAATAATCAAATCAGTAATTGCTATACATACCAATTATCCAAACAGGTATTTTCTTTCCCAGTTTCTCGTATAAAGAGCTAAGGAATTCAGTGTAAAAACCTACTAAGCCGGGATTGCCTGGAATACATAACACAATCTCGGGTACATCTTCTATAGCATCTTCGATCCATCGACCCCAGGTAATTACATGAGTAGGAGTACCAGAAATATTTACAAAACTTTCTTCCATCTTTACAAAAAAAAA